TACTCCGGTGGTAGGGACTTTCCGTGGCTGACTAGATTGCAATACCCAAAACTGTCACCGTCTGGTAGGCAGCTCACGTGAACGGGACTTGCAGGTCTGGCCAATTGTGAGTCGTAGCAGAATGGTGCAGTGCTCCGTCTTCTAAAAAAACATTATGGGCAGGGATTGAGTGGCAAGGGGGGAAGGAGGGAGCAGATAACAGAAAGACTACGAAGACAAGCAACCAACTCATGCAGGTCCTACTGGTGGCTCAACTGCAGAAGGCACCCGTACCTACCAAGCTCGAAGATTCATGAATTGCATATGCTCTGCAGACTGAGTAATGTTTTTGTACTGATAGATGGTTGTTCACCGATCGCGTTACGGCGTTAGACTTCTGATCAGCAGAGGATTGAGTATAGCTGGCTGATGAGGGCTAATAAGCCAAAAACGCTCATTCTAGTCTCCCTTATCCTTGTTGGTCATGTCATATTAGGTTGTTTTGGATTTAAGTAGTCAGAAAGGAAAAATGTTTGAGGGTTGATCTAGCCTAGGTGGCGAAGAGTACGACAAGTAAAAACATTGGACCGACTTGCTTAATATTTCCTGCGGGCAGGACCGTGCAGTTCTGAGACTGACCAAAAGTTCCGAAGAGATGATAACCCAGGCGACTGGTGAAAAGAACTGATAAAATTTTCTTTATTTGTAAAGTGATCGTACTTCGAGGATCCAGGGCGGCACAGTAGGCAAAACTTACTTTTTCACTTGCTCAGACATGAATTCGAAGCAACTTCCCGTTGCAAAAAGGCAGCCACGTCGAAACCCCCAGTGTAAGTCGTCAGCTGACGAATAATTGGCCAGGTACCAACTACAGTGAGAAACGAGAAAGAATTGGGAACAGTGGCCAACAGAAGAGGTTTCAGTATAGTTCACTTTTATTAAGGGAAACATAAGCGAACACCTTTAAACGCCGGATAAAAATTATCCGACCTCTATAAAACTATTTTACTCGTAGTCGATGATCGAAAAATTTAGCAAAATGAAGCTGCGTTTTCCAATAAACAAGTGCACTGAAGATGTCGTTTGACGTTTCGGCAAACACACCTCGGTCAGTTGCAGTAGAGTTCTACAAGAACTCAAAATGGGTTGTATAAAGGAACAATTCTCAGCAACTTACCCTGTATCCTCCATTAGGGCCAATGTTAACTTCGATAGTCGAAAGGTGTTTGTATAGGTGGGTGTCATTAACTCATTCTGTAAAAGGGAACGATTATGGCTGATGAGAAAGACGCGTTGAACACGTTGGGTAGGAGGCAAGAGCACTGAATGTGGCAAGAAGATCTAACAGTCCCGGAACAGAGGCCCCAGTCACCTTGTCACTTTCCTTAGTATTCAGATCAATTCAACTACCCTAGTGTCCTCCAGCTGGCATACCAGCGAATCAGGGATCAAGGCAAAGCAACGTGATCCTAAAAATGTTTCTCTCTTGAGGTTCGGTCGTAATTAATAATACTTAATAACAATACTTAATCAACAATACTGTCCAGAGTTCTGGCATGCGAATTGGTCCTGGCCAAGGTAGCTGTTTGGTGCATGCAGCAAGCAGCCGCACTCACAGTAGCATATCGATCGGCCTACACGAGGCGAACGCATACAGGATAGTCAAGCAATCAATAATCCAAGATTTAAACTGCATGCAGCCACTGAGTCACAGCCAACCGTGCTAGTAGCCAAGCCAGGACAGAAGCTGATTGGCTCGATGGACCTAGCTTGCACTCGTTTGTTGCTCTCTCTCCCTCTCTTGTCTCTAAGGTCAGGGACAACATGCTCAACATCTAACCTAAGCGAAGAATGTACTGCTCTCAAGGCCTTAAGGATAGATGCAATGAGTCGGATGGTGGATAAAACGTCTTACCCTCCTTAAAACTTACCCCCAAAAATCGAGTCTCCCAGTGAGAGAGAGAAACGCCTGACAGGTGATGATCTTCCAGCTCGACCCCTTCTAATGAAGGGCAATCAAAATACTCCCTCGCGACCCGCTGTAAATAAACAATAATATCAGAAAGGGCACTGAGGGGAACAACTGCTTTGCCGGTCTGTCATAAATATTCAGCTAAATGACTAGTACATCAAGAATGAGGTGGGGACGCGAGAGACGATAGAAACTTTAAAATAAAGGTAAGCCACCTTGTGAAGACAAATTATGTCTAGCTCGGAATATCCAGCAAAATCTATTTAAAGGCATTCAGATTAACAGAGCTTCTTAGGTGGAGAAGCTAAATAGGCAGGGGCTCGTATAAGTACCCAAACGATGATAATTGACTTGAAGCAAGGGTTTGCCGCGAACATAACACGTTCGACACGAGCGTCTGCAACCAGCATTTAGACTTCAAGGGATATTGGGGGCCCCACAAAAGGTCCGCAAGCTGGGATAAGCGGAAGGTCCACATTTCACTCTCGTTTCCATCTTCAGAGTACCGAGCATACTCTTCCGTGGATCTTGAGTGAAATCGCCTCGCCGCCAGCCTCACGTTATACCCGTGCTCACTAAAGGTGCGTTCGCCTGCCTGGTGGCCGCTGATTAATTCCGACCTTTTTGCCTTCGACCAATGGAGGGTCCGCTGGGAAATAATTTTGGAAATTATTAACTGCATGACATGGAGATGGATGACTGGGACATTTCTTTTTAGAATCAGAAACTAAATTTCTATGAACGCTTTAGTCGAAGACAATCAACTTCCGTGGATTAACCACGCAAATGTCCATTATACAAATGAGTGATATATATCATGGCAAAGATGTCATACCGCAATCCCGAATCTGCAAACCCCCCCCCCCTCTACTAATAGTGAACGACTTTGTGTGAATAAAAAATATAAAGAAATTATAAAAAGTAAGTTTATGTCATTTGGAAATACCGACTTTTTTGAAAAGTGGGAAATTTCAAGAAAAAACGTCAAAAATCCTTGCAGCTGAGTAAACCTAAGTTCTAGATGTA